CCAAAAACGACCCACGCCTCCCACCTGGCCCCCACCTGGGCCCGACACCCCCACGCCTCTAGGCTCTGTTCTTGGAACCCCCGACCCCACGATTTCTCGCCAAAAAAACAAGCAACGCCTCCCACCTGGCCCCCACCTGGTCCCGACACCCCCTAGCCTCTGGGCTCTCTTCTTGGGACCCCCGACCCCACGATTTCTCACCCAGAAACGACCAACGACCCTCACCTGGCCCCCACCTGGCCCCGACACTCCCAAGCCTCTGGGCTCTGTTCTTGGGACCCCCGACTCCACGATTTCTTTGTCAAAAACGACCAACGCCCCCCACCTGGCCTGTCCCCGACACCCCCAGGCCTCTGGGCTCTGTTCTCGGGGATCCCTCCACCCCGCGATTCCTCAGCCAAAGTCGACCGATACCCCCCCCCCCCCCTGGCCCCTACCTGGCCCCGACACTCCCAGGCCTCTGGGCTCTGTTCGTGGGGCCCCCCACCCCACGATTTCTCGCCCAAAATCAACCGATACCCCCCCGCATGGCCCCCACCTGGCCCCGACACCCCCAGGCCTCTGGGCTCTGTTCTTGATCCCCCCACCCCACGATTTCTCGCCCCAAATCGACTGATACCTCCCCGCCTGGCTTTCTCGCCCAAAATCGACCGATCCCCCCTACCTGCCCCCCCCCCCTCCCCCTCTCCCCACCTGGCTTCCACCTGGCCCCGACACCCCCAGGCCACTGGGCTCTGTTCTTGGGACCCCCCACCGTACGATTTCTCGCCCAAAATCGACCGATACCTTCCACCTGACCCCCACCTGGCCCCGACACCCCAATGCCTCTGGGCTCTGTTCTTGGGACCCCCCACCCCACGATTTCTCGCCTAAAATCGACCGATACCCCCCCCCCCCACCTAGCCCCCACCTAGCCCCGACACCCCCATGCCTCTGGGCTCTGTTCTTCGGTCCCCCCACTCCGCAATTTCTCTCCCAAAACCGACCGATACCCCGTACCTAGCCCTCACCTGGCCCCGACACCCCCAGGCCTCTGGGCTCTGTTCTTGGGACCCCCCACCCCACGATTTCTCGCCCAAAATCGACCGATACACACCACCTGGCCCCCACCTGGCCCCGACACCGCCAGCCCTCTGGGCTCTGTTCTTGGGACTCCCCACCCCGCGATTTCTCGCCCAAAATCGACCGATATCCCCCTTCCCCCCCCCCCCCCACCCACCCCACCTGGCCCGCACCTGGCCCACGTGGCAACAGCTATTCAGTCTTACGCACTTTTGTCACCGACGCGTGGCTCCGCTCAGCGACTTCTTTCCTTTTGCGCTCTTGGCCAGCACAGCACACGTTGCACCTTTGCTTTCCATTCGCCTTCTGCGAAGTCCGCTCGGCCAACCAGCTGCTGTACTCCTCTTTCCCGAAAGCGCCTTTGCATTCTACGCATGTCCACTTTCCGCGCTGCATCTTCGCACCGCCGATGCAGCGCTTGCACTTGCGGTGAAGATTTGCCACGCCGTCCCACATCCAATCGGAATAACATGTTTTCTGTTGCGCCTTCTCGCACACTACACAAGTTCTCTCTTCCTTCCTCCCTGCAGCGACGCACTGCTTGCACTTACGATGCAGATCAGCCACGCCGCCCCGCATCCATTCTGAAAAAAACTCTTGCCGCTGCCCCACCCTGCACACCACGCAAGTTTTAATGTCCTTCCTCGCCGCCTTGTCCCGCCCTGCTGCTGCAGCGTTTACGCATTCCCTACATTGCATCGATGCTACCGGCGCGTTAACCAACATGTGCTCTGAAAACTCGGCTCTCCTTTTTGGGGTTCCGCACTTGGAACACACGCGCTCTTTTGCCTCTTCGGCACGGGCCTTCTCCTCCTCTCTCTGCAACCTCTTACACGCCTTGCATGTGGGTTCCTCGTTGATAACAGTTTCCGCTTTGGCAAATTGATCTAGTAACTTCTGCTCGCCGCAGCGCGAACACTTCAGATGCTTCTTCGCCTCTTCGCAGTCCAGGCACATTCCTCCTTTGCATCGGGCATTCCCTGCCTTGTCCCACTGAGTCGCCCCGAATCCTTCCTCGTACTTGCTCTTCTCGCACACATAACACTTTCGCCTCTCGGGGCAGTCTACGCAACGTCGCGTGGTCAACTTCGATGGGTGGTGCTGTGACGCGTGGAAAGCCTCCTGGCACTTCCATAGACCACACTCCATGCATTGCCACGGCGTGCCGGACCTCTTCTTATCTTCCAGGCACACGCTGCACACGCGGAGCCCATCTGCGCGGCTCCACTGCCCGACCGTTGGGCACATGTTCTTGTACTTCGTGCACCCGCAGACCGCGCACCTGCCAGACGGCATGAACTCCCGCTCTATCGCCTCCCAGTCCAACTCTTCTCCGCGCAACGTGCGCAGTAGTAAGTCCGGGCCCTTCCGTTCGCCCTTCTTCTGATACGGCGCAATATCGAAAGGGCGAAAGATCAGCATGTCCTCGCGGCGTTGCACCCGCGTCAGTGCCACGTAGCTCGACAGAGGTGACGTGCCCCCACCGATGCTCAGGTCCACTATGACACCTTGCTTGAACGTCTGCCCCTGCGCCGCATGGGCCGTCACTCCGAAGGCCGGAGCCAGCGGGAACTGCCGTCTTTTGACCTTCAGTCGCGGATGCGGACGGCCCTTGTCCACGAACCAATCCTTCTTCTGCGGAATCACGGGGTACAACCCGGGCGTCTTCAATCCCTCGATCGTCCACTGGCATGGCTTCCTGCCGCCGTTCCCGTCTTCGCCTTCGTCGAACAACACGAAGATCACTTTCGGAGTCTTCTTCAATATGGTCTCCCCGCCGCGCGTGACTCGATCATTGACGGCGTCCCCGTCGCATACCCAGGATTGCACCCGGCCCACGCGACCGCGCAGCAGGTTTTTGTCCTCGCTTCGATCGATATGATCGGTCAGAGCGACGGGCATGCCTTCAGCGATGGGCAAGAAACCGTACAAGTCCCCGCTCTCCTTGTCGTGGCGTTGGAGCCATGCCATCTTCTGCTGCGGCAGATCCGGCCGCTCCCGCAGCGCCTCTGGCGTGGGCGTATCTCGCGCAGGGACGTACACCATCGGCATCCTGTGCTTCCGTGCGTACTGGGCCGCACGGAGCTTGTTCGCCTCGTACTTCACGTCGTTGTTTGGGAACACACCCGGCGCCACGAGGAACTTGTCTGACTGCAGACGCGGGTCGTCGGGTCCATCCACCACGAGCTTGCGGCGTGCGCGTTCCGTTCTGCACACCTTGCACTCCTGCTCGCGGATATCTTTCGGCGTCACGGGGCGTTTCCGTCGTTGCCCCGCGCTTGACGACGCTGCGTCCCTTCCGCCACTGCACAGTTCCCGACACGCCCGATTCCCGCAGCAGACGTCCCCCCCCAGCCAGCTCCCAGGAACGGACGTATGCCGGCCGTGCAAGAATGCGTGCGCATCCGCCGACAGCGAGCCTCTTCGGAATTCCTCCTGCACCTCCTTCAACCAGGCGTCGTCGCATCGCTCGCACTCTTCCAGCTCTGTCACGCCCTGAATCCCACACTCGGCCCCGCCCCACAGTAGCGATTGACCGTGCAACACGGGTGGCAGCGATGTGTACTTGCGCGCAGCCGAAATCCGCTCCGTGGGGACGTCGGCGAGAAAGCCTCCGTCAGGGGGGGCCAGCTGCCAGAAGTCACCACTCAGCACGACGTTGAGGCCGCCGAACGGGCGTGGAACGCCATCGTCGCCGAGTTTCGTCGTGCCCACGTCCCGAATGACCCCGCGAAGTTTCGCGTCCACTTCTGCTAGCAGTCTAGCGCTCACCATGCTTATCTCATCGATAAAGAGCCACCTCCACTGGAGCAGCCGCTTCGCAGCCTCGTACTGCAACTTCACGTCCTCCCCCCCCTTCTCTTCCCCCCGCTTGATAGCCGGAATGCCACACGCATGGTGAATGGTGTCGCCTCCCAGCAGCTGAGCCATGACGGCCTGCAAGGCGGTTATCTGGAAGTGCACTCCGATAGTCCATTTCATCACCTTCTCGAACAACTCACGACGAATAATGCGAAGCACGTGCGACTTGCCGGTCCCAGGGCCCCCGTGCATGCACCACTGCAGCGGATCACCCATGCTGCCGTCCTCACTTCCCTCGCCGTCTATCTCGCGCATTACTCGATTCGCCACCTTCTTCACCATCTCGAACTGCTTCGCGTTCACAACACGCCGTCCCGTCTGCTTGTCCACCCGGAACTCTAGGTCCCTGAGCCACGCGGCAACGTCCTCCGATGTTGCGGCCTGGCCAGCGACGATAACTGCGCCGTCAGCCTCCGCCAGTCGGTCCGCCATGGATTGCTCCTTGTTCCGAGATTTGCGCGCCTCCCTGAGTACCTGCTCAACGTCGCAGGGCTCCTCTGCGGGCCATGCACCCGGAATCTCGCTCAACGGCGTTTCGCCATCGCGGAGCCCCCACACCTGTTGCGCGACACTCATGCCCCCTTTCGAATTTTCGTAGTGGGAGACGCCTCCGGCTCCCTGCCCAGGGTCTGCGTCGTCCTCCTCGCTGCTGCTGTCTCCGTCGCCGTCCTTGCGCCTCTTCCCGCCCACGCGGGACTTCAGCGCATCGTCGAGCTGATCGAAGCCCACGTCCAACTCCTCGTCGCTCACGTCTTCGTCGGTCCCGTCCCCCGCTTCTTCAGTGTCTCGTGGCCGGACGCGGTACACACTCAGGAAGTTGCCCACGTACCGCGCGGCTTCCTTCGTCTGCACCCCGCCGTCCAGCCACGCCACCATGGCCGCGTCCCACGTCGGCGCGTCGCCGCGCAGGCTCCCTGCGAACACGACGTGCGCGTCGGCCGCGTCAGGCCTCAACGTCCACGGGTGGAAGTACGTCATCACAATGCGCGCAGATCGCTCCGCTTCTCCAGGACGTCCGCGTGGCACGGGCGCTCCGAAAAAGGTTGGTGCCTTGGGTCTCTTGTTCCGCTTGAGCACCCACGTGTGACGAAGGTGGGCGCACCCGTCTGTCTCTGGGTACGGCACCCAATCCACGCCTCCTCCTTCCTTCACCATGTAGTCCTCCCCAAGTTCCAGGTCCTGCTCCAATCTCGGGTTCTTACAATTCTCGCGCACCTTTTCCTTGCCCTTCTGCGTCAAGACAGCGTGATGCCGAGGATGGTCCGCATCCCCGAGTCTCGTGGGGAACGACGCCAACACCGGCGTCCAGAACGTCGCGAACTCGTACGGCGACAAGTGCCACAGGTCGGGCTCGTTCGGTCGCAGTCCATACAACATGGCCACGTCTCGGAAGGTCACCTTTCTGCGTCTCCTCTGCCGCATGTCCACTTCAGCAAACTGCGCTTTCCGCCCGCCTGCCGCGCGGTCTGCCAGGCGCTCGACCAAGTCCACGTACTCGCGTCCATAAAAGGCTGTGGTCTGGCACGACTTCAGTGCTTCCGCCGCAGTGACGTCGTCCTCCCTCGCGAACGCTCTCAGGTTCGCACACTCCACTTGCCCCCGCACGATGCCTTTGCCGTACGCGTCGCTCATGATGCGATTCGCTACTCTCTTCCCGATCCGATTCAAATTCTCGCCCTGCAGCTGCCTGCCAAGCTTCTCTACCCCCTTGCAGCACTCCTTCACTTCGTGAAAAGCCATGGGTTGCCGTTTCGTGCAGTAGTCGCAGGCGTACCCTGCCTGTGCGTCCTGTGCCATCTGCGCGACCTTGATGATCGCTGCGTCGTTGAGCTTCTTATCGCACGCTTTCCCGCACGTACAACAAACCTCTGTGATGGGGAATCGATACGGCAATTGCACGTCCGAATTGAACCGTTGCGCGGACAACATGCATGGATGCGTGCCGTTCAGACTCGCGTGATTCATCGGCCCGTGCAGGCTTCCCGTCCGATTCCGTCGCCCTGCCTTTGGCATGTCCAACGCTGCCGCCTGCCCTGGACACACGACGATGGCGCGGTCAATGAGCTGCGACGTCCGCGGAAAGTCCGCCTTACACAGCTTCGGGTTGTCCTTCCGGCGGCACGCCGGCAGGGGTACTCGCTCACCAGTCTCTTCGTTCTTCAAATGCACGTGGTTCTGCTTCCTCTCCTGCAGGTACTGCACGTCTTCGTCCAGGTACGCTTTCTCCCATGCCACAGCGTCGTATGCTGCCTCCTTCTCCGTTGCTTCTGGGTCCAGTGTGCGACACTGAAACGCGGGCCTGCAAATGAGACCGCCCTCGTTCTTGAACTCTGGCCACGACTTCTCTGCCTCATCCAACTTGCCATTAATCTCCTCCGGTGTCATCTGCTCCGAATAAACCTGGCGGCACACGCGACTCTTATACTTCAAATAATCCTCAACGATCTTCCTTCCACGGCCTTCCACCTCGTCGCGGACGATTTCGAATACCTCGTCCAGCGGTGTGTGCTGGTGCAGGCACTGGATGAATACCTGGCAGTGCGCGTGGAGAGACCCCGTGGACTTCTGCGCTTCGATCGACACGTAGTAGGCATCAACGCGCCCGAACGCGCCCCCCCCGGGCTGAGCATTACTCCCGAACAGGTCCTGGCAAGGTGCCCCATTCTCCGCCTCGTTGCACCGCGGGCAGTTCGGACAGGTCCGCACGCCGAACAAGTGACGGAGCGTGGCGTCCACCAGGATACGGAAGCCGTCCACGCTGGCCATGGGATCTCTCGCAAGAATTCGTCTGCGCTCGTTCCATGGCGGCACTCCTGCCTCCCCCGTGGTCATCGGCAGGTCCATGTGCAGCCCATCCATGTCGGGGGCTACGCGCGGCCAGCCCCGACTCCCCGCCAGCCGCGAGTGCGCTTCATCATCAGCTGCCTTGTGCACGGGGTCCTGCCGGCGAGTGCGCGAGAGTCTCACCATGAGCAGATTGTGACCTTCGTCGGGCGAGAAGGTTACGAATATGGGGACGCCGTACCGCACTCGCAGCGCGTTCGTCTCAAATCGCATGACTCGACGCGCTTCCTGCGTCCCAGACAGTCGCCGCGAAGTGTGCTCTATGTGCGTCAGCAGCTTATGGGCGGCTTTCCCCAACCCTGGCACGTGCCGCACTTTGGTCATGTCGCCGTTTACTTTCTGTTTCCTATTGTTGATGTCTACGTACTTCCCGTCGAGCGCGCGATAAATCTGCTTCGCTCCTTCCGCGATTTCCGCGGGAGTGAGCTGTTCGACCTCGCCTGATGCGTTCGCTGACACATACGTGAACCACGTCCTGCTCAGGTTCACAGCCGATCGAAACACAAGGTTCCACGACACGAATCCGAAGTGCCAGTCGCGGGACATCTGGCTCTCCACGCGACGACTCATTATCCTCACCCACAGCGGCAGCTCCACCCGCGGCGCCCCGTTCCCCCGTCGGTGGCGCGGGCGCTTCATGAACTCTGGGCAGTCAGGCATTCCCGTGCAATACTTAAACACAAACGCGAACGCGACGCCGAAATACCAGGGCTCGAACTGATCCATCATAACGTTTCCAGTGCGCACGCGGAGCCGATCCACACGCTTCCTTTCGCGCCCGGCCTGCATCAGCATGTCGCGCTCCACTGCTTCTCGCGCCGCTTCGTCCGCGCTCGAGGCCGTGCCCTCGCGGACGCGGCCGCGTTTCCCTGTCCGTTCTGCCTTTCCGCCGCCTTCCTCGTCTTCGCTGGAGTTCGACGTGCTGTCGGCCCCGCCATGCGCGCACTCCTCATCTAGCCGTTGCACGAAGGTCCGCACGGCCTCAATCCGCTGCGCATTGATGTCTCCCTCGTCGAAACTGCTCTTCTCACACACCACAGCGTTCGCCTTCGTGGTCTCCAAAATTTCTCCAGCCTCACGTAGCCCGTCGGGCCTCGGCACGGGCGTCGCCGCCTTCTGCATTTGTATCTTCTCAAGCGCGTCGTCCAGGGGTACCAGGCGCATGATCGCCGGTGGCACGCCTTCCTCCGGAAGCTCCATGGCTCTTTTCCGGACCTCATCCATGTCCACGTTCCGGTACGCGCGACGCCCGCGAGCCTTCGCCCCCTCGATGAGATCCACGACCACCTTCCTGCGCACCAGAGCCTGGTGCACGAACGTGGACATGCTTTCAGCAGTATCGTCGTCGCCGCCCGACTTCAAGATCACAGACACGATGCCTGCAAGCTCCGCGCCCGTGCGTGGAAGCGCCGGCGCATGCCCGTCCGCGGCAGCTTCTTCAGCAGCAGCCAACTGCGCTAGAACGTCCGTCCACGGCATCGGGAACGACGTCGCGTTTCCGCGCGCCGCCATGCGGACGTCGTTCGCACCCACTTCCATGTCAAAAGACCGCTCCTTCCGGTATCGTTTCTCCAGTGTGAAGCACACCATTGATGTGATGCAGACTGAGGCGCAGATCATCTCCAAAATCGTCACCTTGCTACCGAACAGTTCTTCCGGAGAGTAGAAAGCCATCATATCATTGGCCAGCGCCGCGGGGGGCAGCGTCGCCTCGCCGCGAACGCCCACCATCGCGTTCTTACACTCCCCGCACAGCGGGGCTTCACAACATCTGCACGCCGTGTTCTCCGAGTGCCACGTGCCACTGACGCACCGCATGTCCTCGGGGCAACAGAGCACGCGGACGGGCCCCTCTTCTGATGGAACCGTCACTTGCCAATCATTAAACTCCTCCATTCGATCTCGGAGATGAACACCGCTGCTCCCCTCCCCGACGGCACTCACATTGCCGAACCGCTCCACGTACGCGTCCACCGACATATGCTCCCTCACGAACGCGCCTGACAGCCCGAACAGTCCGTCCGCGTTGGGACTCACCGCGCGCCATTCGATCGGGTTCCCTCTGCGCCCTTCCACGTGCGGAAACTTCCGTGCGCACACCATGCACACGAGAGAGTCGACGGCACCCTCGCGCAGACTCCGCGCATACTCGAACAGACATCGACGATCGATCGCCAGTGCTGCAAGCGGCGCGCCCGTCCGAACTTTCCATGCAATGGCCTCGTTGTACGCGGACCAGTACTGTGCCTCTCTTCGCCTCGTCTCGTCTTCTTCGTTGCATGCGAGCGCCTCCGCGACGTCCCGTAGATCCCCCGCGTGATTGCTTACCACATGCTCCTGGAGCTCATCGTTGCTGGACCCTCTCCACCCGCATCTGCTGAAAGCGCAGTGTGCTTGCGGCAGCACTACGGCACCTCGTGAGAAGATGGCGTCGTCTTCCAACGGTGCTCCGTGCACGGAGACCGCTGGCACGGTGGGGTGCTCTTTCATAAGCTCCGCGGCCGCCTGTAGACCTTCTTCTCTAGCCCTGCGACAACCGTCCGCGGACACGCGGCCGTTCTCGACGGCGCGGACGCGGTGCACGTGCGCTGCTCCCGCTGCCTCCGTGTAGTCCTTCTCCACCACCTGGCCCGTGCTCTGCTCCGTTCCGCTCCTGCCCGCACCGCCCGCACTGGCGTCCGCCCCTGCACTACTCGGCCGCGCCGTCGTTAGCAATCCTGCGCTCTCGTGCTGCCCTGTCTCTGGCCCAGCCACCTCCGAAGGTTCTTCTGCCCCCTGGGAAGGCGACTTCCCGCGGGAATCGTTCTCGGCGCGCGCCCACACTGGCCTGTACCAGGTACTGCTGATGTCCGCGCCTGTCTCGTTGTATATTTCAAGGATTACTGCCCCTTCCTCCTCGGTGACATCGCCCTCACGTGACCATTGGCCCAGCACCGGGCCGCCCCCCTGGATCTCCTCTCGGGACAACGTCATGTCATACCCCCCGCGTGGCCCAACGTGCCCGTCAAAGCGGGAGTACGTGCGCAGGATAACGCGGTCTGGCAGCGCTACTCCTTGCATGCCGTGGCGGGCCAACGCAAACCTCACGATCTCGCCTGCATGAGCGGCAACGCTCAGCTCTCCACCGTGCGATGCCAGATTCAACCACGCATCCTCGACGTTCCGCAAATACCGCACGCACGCTTCACATGCGACGCGGCGCTCCTCAGCGGACGCCAGGGCATGGCCACACCACCCGGCGTTCGACACAAGCTGGAATATACTGTCCGCTAGGCTAGCGTTGACCCCGTGTGCAAGCGATGCACCCACACAGCGGCCATCTCGTGTCATTTCTGCTCCGCGTTCCTCGTCCGTCTTCGCCTCGAACACCATTTCCCCCATCAAGAATTCCATAAACTTGCACGTTCGTTCTTCCACGACGCGGCACCTATCCTCTGCGTCGGGGGCGTCTGCCAGAGCGCCCCATGACTCCTCCCATCCCTGCCAGGCACGCACCCACGTTTCTTGCATGACTCGCAGGAGCGATTCCGTGTCGCCCCACGCTTTCCAGAGATGAGCGCGCAGCTCTCCCGGCACGAACTCCAGTCCGGGAACGTCCCACGCATCCGGCTTTTCGCACGGACTCAGCAACAAACGCAGTGCGCGGATATCCGACTCCCTGACGACCCGCACTGGTGCCACGAGATCACAGGGTAGGATGTGCAGCGCCGGAGCACGACCTTTTCGGGCGGCGACGCCATGCATGACCAGCCCCCCAGGACGCTTCTCCTGCGACGCCACCGACGAAGGTCCCTCCAGGCCGACCACGCCGCGCTCCAATGCCGCTGCTTCACCAACGCTTGACGAGCCCGAGCACGCAACGTACTGGGCACGCAAAGCTTGCGGACGACTCGCGTCGGTCGTCGCCGAGCAAAAAGTCCCTGTCGCGCTGTCACCGCCTTCCTTGCCCGCTCTCTGACCGCCGCCAGCCTGGCCCAAATTCGTTCGATGCCCCTCCCTTGTTCCTCCCTGGACACCGCCACCGACCGTCGCAATCGGACCGATGCCGCGACGAGGCTTCGCCGACGTTTCTTTGTGCGCGCCCAATCCTCCGTGGTTCATATCAGCGTTGCCCTCCACGATGTCAGATTCATCAGGCAGTCCGCTCTTGGTTTCCAACTCCTTCGCCCTCGCACGCGGAGTCGGCGGACCTGGCGACGGGGGCACAGCTCTCGACAAGCATTCCAAACGCTCGTAATGTCCTCGCACAGCGCTCCTCCCCAGATCAGCGTTTATACCAATAAGAGTGATGTGCGCCGAGTCGGCGTCAGGCAAGACATACTTGTGCAGCTGAAAGGCTGGGCGACGAAGCCCACGCTCCTCCCAAACCTCCCGCGCTATTACCGCGTTCATACCTGCACACTCGCACACCAACATCAGCTCTAAATCACTCAAATAATACCCATCCGAGCATACGGCCTCCAAATAACAAGGGTACACAAGAGTGAAGAAGTCCTCGAATGGCTCTTGCACCAAGACAGACTCCCCGGCGTCGACGACGGGCGCGTGCACGCGGGCCTCCTTCACTAACTCTACGAAGTCACCAACTCCAGCGCCGAATGCTCTGTCTACGTTCGCGTCCTGCAGATCGGCCACCGTGTTATTTACGTGCGACAGAAAAGCGTCCACGTTGTTCATTCCGCAGTACTCCACGATGCCGCGGCGGTAATGCTGCCCGAGCTCTGTGTCTGTGCCAGCGACGTCGATCTTCCATTGCCCGTCATTGCCTATGCATTCGTAGTCGTCAAGAATGCCCATGTGAGTCAGCAGCGGGCGCAGAAAAACATCTTTCATGTCGTTCCCGCATAAGTTTCTCAGCGCACTTGCAACTTCGCGTCGCTTCTGCTCGAAGACCGACAACGCTTCACTCTCTTGCTTCACGGCGCACACACAGGCATTCATGACATGGCGGTTCCCCTTTATTTTCTCCCACAATCTCTTTTCTTCCGCCAGCATGCCCAGATTCCGATCGTTCAGACCAGCATGCTGTTCCGCCTGCGGCTTGATCACATGCTTCCACGCCGAGTTCATCAGCTCATCAAGCGCTCGAGCATTGCGGCAATTTCGGCGCACTTCTTCTGCAGTCTCGCCGAGCGTCCGTCGCAAGAAACCTCTCGCATCGGCGTGCCGCAGGCCATCTGGGCTGGCCGTGCCGAACAACGCATTAATTCCACAAGCGCCGCCCTGGCCGCTGGTGAGCATCTTTCGATACCGACGGTTAACGAGTGCCCGAACTCTCTCGGAAAAGCATCCGTCACCCATGACGACAGGGCAACCGTCATGCTGCAGCCCAGTACTCGCGCTCGCGCTATTGCCTGCCGCCAGCGCCCCATTCTTGCCGCCACGACTGGCGCCAGCCGCGGAACGTCGCCACGGGGCCCGCACAGGGTCACCTTCCATCCCGCTCAGTACGCCGTGCCCATGAGCGACGCGAACTACATGTCCTTCGGACAGCCAAACGGCAGACCCGACGCAGCGGCCATTCGCATCACCAAGTCGCCACCTCAAACGGGCTCCCTCCTCCAGAAGATCCGCGACTTTTTCTGCCTCGTAGACCCACGCGAAAGCCTTCTGCTGGCACAGCCACCGCTGGACCGCGTCCACGTTCTGTTTTGGTACGGGGTCCACTCCGCCCGCACCCGACAATGCATTGTTGGGGCACTCTCTCGAAAAGAATCGCAATGCTTCTCGGCGCCAACGACCGCGCTGCATACGCGCTACGGCATCTTGCAAGCACTTATTTTCCCAGGACCCCACGGTTGCTTCGTCTGCCGCGAGTGTCGCCACAGACGTCGTCGGTGCGCATGTCACGTACGCCATCCACGCGACAGCAACCCGTAGCATTCCGTCACCTAGTGTCTCCACGGGCGCGCCACCGCTGCTTGCGCACATCGCAACGCACTCAATCCACTCGCTATTGCCCCGACCCTGGTGGTGCACCTTCCGGTTCACGCCAATTCCCGGCGCACGACGCACGCGAGCTCTGCGGGCGCCCCCGACACGGCGCGCTTCGCGGCCCGACATCCACGCCGCGATACGCCACAACCCACACGCATTCGAAGCATGCCCGAGTGCAACGAAAAGGACTGTGCGCAGCACGTCGAAGAACGAAGCGTCCACGACGTCGTCCGACTGCCTTTCGGAGCCATTCCTCCCGCTCGGGGCTCTCATCACAGCCGTGCACCTGTCGCGCGTCCGAGCAACGCACGTCCTCGCAGCTGCGCTCTGGCGGCCGCAGGCCCTTCCTTTTCCTTCTTTTCCTCCTCCTCCTCCTCCTCCTTTTCCGTCTTCCCTACTAACGTCCGCTACATGGCCGACTATGCGTGTTCTCCGATCCCGCCACGATCGCCTTCGAGATATCCATCGCTGTAGTCGCGACCCGTCACCTGCAGGGCACCAGCGTTTCACGGCTGCCTTGCCCGCGTCTCCCAGACGCCACGCGCGACCCTCCTCGGAGCTTCGCAGAACCCCCGTCTCTGGCACTGACGATCGGACCATTCTTCGAATCGATTTCCGTCCCTCGCGCCACGCGTTGGCTGGACCAAACCTACAGAGAATCCGCGAGCATTTCCCCCTTCCATCGGTCATACGACGCGTCTGCGAAGCAAAGCGTGCTAGTCTGTCCTGTCTGTCGCTCGATGGGCGCGTCTGGGCAGAAATTCGCCGTTGCTCTCCCCTCCTGTCTTCTAGCGCACGCTCCAAAAAGACGGTTCGCGATATGTTCCCCCTTGTATCGTGTGGAGAAAGCGCCTGTGGCCAACTCCTCCTCGGGAGTTTCTTCATGTTGTCGTCCAGTGGACGCGTTTCTGCATAGAGCCGCGATAGTTTCCACCTTCTCTCATTCAGAGGACGAACCTGGGAACAAAATCGCAATCGTCTGCCCCTTCCATTGTCTAGAAGACGCGCCTGTGGACAAATTCGCGATAGTTTCCTCCGTCTATCGTCGAGAGGACGAACCTGGGACGCGAATCTCGATAGTTTCCTACTTGTACCCTCCCGAAGACGCGCCTGCGAAAAAAAACGCGATAGTTTCCCCCTTCTACTCTTCGGAGACAGACAGCGGGGTCTTCCTGGTAACGGCCTTCCGTCACCTGTCTCTCCCACACCGCACAAAATTCGCGATAGTTTCCCCCGTCTACTGTGTGCACGAAACGTCATGGGACCAATCCACCAGGGCCTGTCTCCGCAAAATCGCGATAGCTTCCCCCTTTCAGCCCGCCCATTCCGAGAGCTGGTCACTCGGGCCCACCACAAAGCAGAACATTTCGGTCGTGGATTTACGCAGCGACGCGGCAAAGCCCCGGAGGACCCCGCCACGACACACCCCTCTCGGGGGACCGGCCTGACACCGGCTGACCCGAAGGCCCATGCAGGAACGCGGGCGTGCCATTGCTGACACACGCCACGAACCACCCCGTTTCCGGGGGACCGGCTTATGGACACCGGCGCTCCCTCGGTTGATTGTGGTACAACCGGTAAAACCCTCGGTTGGTTATGGCCCAACCGGTAAAGCCCGCGGTTGCTTTTAGGCGCAACCGGTAAAACCTTCATCGCCGCGCCCCGCGCTCCCGCGGCCCCTCGGGGAAGGCCCACAGGAGGGGAGCCAGCTGCAGCCGCTCAAGGCTTGAGCCTGAAGCACGCGGCGTGACAGAATGAACAAGGGTGCATGCCGCTTGAACTCTCGTTGCCTTGGCTGGCCCCATTGTCGTCATCCGTCTTCGCCCTCCCATTTCTCCCATCGTTGTCCCTCCACTTTTTTGCGTTCTCCTGATCCTCCTTCCTCTTACTTCCACCTATGGTTCCTTACAAATCCCACCTCCTGCACCACCTCCATCCCTCTCCTGCCTCATCCCACCACCTCCTACTTCCTCGAACCCTTTCCTACTCTATCGACCTTCCCCCTACCTCCTCCTACCTCCACCTCCACGCCATTGTGTCTTCGAACCTCATCCAACCTCTTCTTACCGCCTCCTACCTCCTACCTGATCCTACCTCCACTTACCTCTCCCAATTTCCTCCTACCTCCTCCTACTTCCTCCTACCCCCACCCCTACCTCTTCCTGCATACTCTTACACGCAACACGCCGCTTCACTATTGAGCGGCCGCCGTATGCAGGTGGCCTGGCGTACAATCCACCGCTCAAGAGGCCTTCAAGATGAGGCCTTTATCATCACCGTCATCATCATCATCATCACCCTCATCATTGACGGTCGCGGGGCCCGTCGAAGGCCCCCGGGGGCTGAAAGACGGACGAAAACCTCCGGGTCGTGAGGATCTGGGGGTTTCCCTTCTTTTCCACTCGTAGGCGTCCAAACGCGGGGTTAGCAAATAATGGCCGGAGGCACGTGCTTGGCCGATGGAGGAGGGGCCAGGGGACGCCTTGAGACAAGAGGAGGCCACGATGTCCGGGAGATTTCATGGCCTCGGCCACGATATCCACACCCCCCCTCGGCCAAAATCCGTTCAAAACAGGCCCCTGGACCCCTCCCGGGGTCCGAACGTACCAGTTTTCCGAGCTGCGTCCAGCCGCGGCGACGAGGAGGGCCCCCGAGAGCCTAAAAAGCTTCGAACCCAAATCCTCGAGGCCCGAAGTTCGAAACTCTATCTGAAAGCCCTAAGTCCTCCGCAGTCGGCGGGGCAGAGGGGAGGAGGAATGAGGAGGGGCAGGAGTGCGAGGGCCTCCCGAAACGCGGCTCGCTTGAGCCGAAATGGCTATGGACAGGAAGGAAGAATGGAGGAGAGGGACGAGCGGGAGGAAAGAGAAAGAGAAGCACCGCGACAGTGTACAGTCCCTTGCGCTAGCTCAGGAGGGAAGAGGATGACAGGGAGGGAGGGATGCGGAGGGAGGGGAGCAGGAGGAGGAGGAAAGGGGCCTAGGAAGGAGGAGGGACGAGGGGAGGAGGGGAGGAGGAGAGGAGGAGGCGAGAGCGGGAGCACGAGTGAGGGGGAGGAGGAGCGGGGCGGAGCGGGGCGGGCATCGGTCAGCACGGGGCCACGGACCTCGCTTCTCTGCGGCAGGCCGAACGGCAAGCCCCCAAGGGGGCGGAGACCCACACCTCCAGGCGCCGCAACAAAACTCACGATGGGCGTTGTTTTCTTTCTCTTTGCCCTGAAAGCAAGGAGCTCACTGAATGCAAACCGAAGGCGCAATGAATGAAATTGTTTTGCCCTCAGTGGGCTAATTGCCACGTCGTCCCGCGGGGGCCGCTTTCGGGCCAGGGGGCCCTGAAAAGCTAACCCGGGGCGAGAGGCCGGTCCCAAGGAAAGAGGAGTCAAGAGCCCCGAGGGCAGGCCCCCGCCGCGAGAAAGGTCATGACGATCGGAGGTCTGGGGGCGGATAGAAGAGACGTCTATCGTCCTTATCGTCGTTACCGTCGTCGTCGTCGTCGTCGTCGCCGTCGGGCCCGCACGAGTAGAGCTAGTTGCGAAGATGTCTCGGGCGGCGGCGGCCTCGATGTGAAGAGTTGCGGGGATGTCTCGGGCGGCGGGAACCCGCTTGACGAAAATTGCGAGGATGTCTCGGGCTAGCCAATTGGAGTTGCGGGGATGTCTCGGGCGGTGGGAGCCCGCGTGAATAAAATTGCGAGGATGTCTCGGGCTAGCCAATTCGCTGTTTGATCCCGAAGGCTGACTGGATGTTTGATCCGAGGGGCTGCCGGGCAGGGCCTGCCAAGCCGGCCGGATCAGAATTTGGCTTGGCTTTGGCTTAGCCAACAGCCTGAAAAGTCAATTAGCCAGGGACGGAGGGGTGGGGTAGTCATCCCTACGCGTCAGCGAACCAGGGATGAACTGAAAACCTGTCCCTTGGAAAGTTTCGGACCAAGTCGGGTTTCGGAGGGGCACCGGGGGCCACCGGGGAAAGGCATCCCGGGACGACGAGGAAGAAAGGAGCGGATAGGCGCACGGCGCGGCGGTTTCAGAACGAGGTCCCGACTCTAGTAGGAATCCGCCCACCCCTTGGAATCATTAGCGTGTGAGATGTTGTCACCACTCCCCCCCACCCCCCCGCCGGAAACACCAGGGGGGGGACATCGCTCCAGAAATTCTGTGGCTTGCTTGAGGAACGTGCCACGAAGTTGCAATGAACAAAGGCCAACCCCCATACCCCAGGCCTTCCGATTCATGGAACATTGAGGCGTGCTAGTATGCCAAGTGCTGTCTAGTAAAGTTTGTGCAATATTTCTAACAGCCCCCCTCCCGGGCCACACCCCGTCGCGCGCATCGCCCCCTCTTCCCGAGGCTCTGTCGACGCCCCGACATGGTCGTCGTCGTCGTCCTCCTCCTCCTCCTGCTCCTCCTCCTGCTCCTGCTCCCCTTCATGATCGTCATCCTCACCCTGCCATCCCTCCGACCGATGATGCACCGGCCGGTACACCTGCTACCCATAATCCTCCTAAACCTCCTTTGGGGTCGGCGGCAGAGGCGGCAGCCTTTAGATTATCCTTCAGCAGTGAGAATTCATCAAATGTTTCACTGCGCGGATCTTTTCATATGTGCATCAATGAGCGTGGACCTCTCCGCCGTGAGTGTCTAAGCGCAAGAATTGTCGAAAATTCACGGGCTTGAGTATTGACGGTCTGGGAGTGAATCTAAATGTGAATGAGTTGGAGTGTCCATGAATCTCAGTAGTACGAGCGCGTCTCTGCGCATGCGTATTTCCCAAACCCTCGATGCCCGCCCTCTTCGTCTTCGATCGCACCTCTTTTGGGGGGTATACTTTTCTTCCCTGCAGGCCGGGCCCCGGCAAGCGGCGGGGCGGCCGCGGACCGTCGGCCTGGCCAGCGGCAGCGCTGATCGGCGGCAACCTGACCCCAAGAGGAACGGACAGGGGACCGACCACGACGACGACAACGTCGACGACGTGACGACGACGACGGCGACGACGACGAGCAAAAGCGAGAGCGAGAGAGAGAAGGACAGCAGGGCCACGAAGGGCACGAATTAGGCCACGAAAGGTGACAGCGGGGACACGAAAGGAATGCGTATGGGGCCACGACGGGCGCGAACGAGCGGGGGCACGAAG